ATTTTCTTTTTTACGACATTATGCTGTTAATTTATACTAATGTGAGTAATATTAATGTGAGTGTAGCGTTTTAGAAAAAAATTGTATTTAATTTGTTAGATGTTTTAATCGCTAATCTACGAGTCTGTTGCGAGTATTGTTTTGCTGATTATTTCGAAGCTTGGATCGCCAATTAAGGCTCTGATCCAAGAGCTGCGAACTTCTTTCCCACCACGGGCCGCCAACGGAATAGAATTGCCCCACCAAAAAAAGAAAAAAGAGTTGAAACTAGATTTGCCAGTGGAAGATGAGGTGGGGTAGTGGCTCGTGAGAATAAATCCGATGAAATAAAAACTCAAAAATATCGATGCAATAGAAGTATATGCATGAACGGTTGGCATTCAATTGCTTGACATTTAAAATTGGTTAGTACCAGACAAATTTATATAAAACAAACAAATTTATATAAAACGAGGCAAATTCACTGACAGAGAATAAATAGAACCGGACAGAGAATGAGAGAGAGTGAGAGAGAGAGAGAGAGAGAGAGAGTGTGTGTGTGTGTGAGAGAGAGAGAGAGAGCCACTTACACAGAACTGGTGAATGTATCATAATTAGAAGAGATAAGATATATTGAAACCTCGGACAATCTCGAAAAACTTTTCTGCTTCGAGGATTCGAAATATTTTAATTTTTTTGTGATTCAAAATTTAGATATGGAAAGTATGAAATTAATGAATAATTTTTTTCAGTCATTGGTTTTTGTTTTGAACGTAAACGTAAAAAAACGTAATTTTGAACAATAAAGTAAAATAATCAAATACCCAGAAATTGCAAAGAGAATTATTTTATTATATAATTTTATTACACCAACGGAATATTTTGAAAGATTTTTCATTAAATCCGGCACTATGGTCGACAGAAGACAGAAGTAGCCCAAATCCAATTGGAATATTAGTTAAACAAAAATCTGTTAAACAAAAATCTGCATTAAATATATCTGCATGTTGTTGTGTTTTTGTTTAACTATTTACTTTAGCTATTGTTTATCTATTTTCTTTAACTATGGACAACACAAACCGACATAGTTGTGCAAGATATCTCGTTCATGGAGAAAGGAATAAAACCAACAAATGTGTACATTGTTTCTCAAATTTCATACAAAGTATTTTCATACAAAGTCATTCAAAATACATTAGAAATTGCATTAATAAATCAATTTATTACTTGAACGGTACAAATATTCCGTCATTAAGTTCATATTAGAATTTATTTTTTTGACATGCATTTATTTTATAAAATAAAGTTTTACACAATATTTTTATTCGTTGCTACATTTTCTATGAAAAAGTATTCTTACCTAGGTATCTTAATCGTTATTTTGTGTGTAAGGTAAAAAAAATAAAAAGTAACTTCACCTCAAGAATTGGAAATTTTTCCTATTAATGTCTTATGCCATTTTTAATATTTAAAAAAAATTAGATTCAAATGTTTTACTCTTTTCTCAGTAGATTTGCAAAAATTATTTCCGAATTATGATATTAATCCATGTAAATCTGTGATAATATTTTATTAGATATTAATTAAAAGATTTATCAAGTAACTGTACTGAATCTTGCACTGCCAACTTATTTCAAATGTTTTAGTACGTCATCCCATGTTTATGTTAATCGTTCTGCATTTAAAAGAATTATTCTCTGTTATAATATTAATCTATTTACAACTGATAATATTTTGTGTTAAACCATTAATTAATAAAATTATTAAATAACTATAACTTTATCATGAAAATCAGTAATTTGTACTATTTTTTACAATTTATTTTTCTATCTTTAATTATCGTTTTATTCTTTAATGCATCGTAGTTAGTATTCAACAATTTTTCTTCATTTTCTTTAGAAAACTGATATTCTGAAGTGAAAAGGCTACTTTTGTAAACTTTTCCAATCTTCGCCAAGAAATAAAAGAAGAAATAGATAATCTTACGACAATAACAAATCATTATCGGTATTGCTTCTTCTCTCTATCGTTTACTTCGTGTTAATATTTGCCGGAAAGCATTACATGTCAAATAGGCATTACATGTTAATTAGTATTGAGAAGCACACTTGCTTTGTAGAAAGCATTCCTCGCAGTATTTTCCATGTTTGGATTTCTTCGAATGGCAACGGAAATGTATCACACATTAAGCAATTATGGATTTTAGCAATTAAGTATTTGTAATACCAGGTAATTATACATTCATATTTCACTTTAAATTTCAAATATATCTTAAATAGAATAATATGTGAAGACTAAGGAGAAAGTCCAGTGCAAAAGAGAACTACATCACAATAATAATGTTTCGAAATATTAACTCTTCAAAGATTGCATTTGATTTGATCGGAGGTACATGTAAGATTTAAATCAAAAATCTAATTCTAGGACATTTTTTAATTCGTAATTATCAAATTCACGTATACTGCAATTCTATCTATGTACAAAATCTGGTTGAATATGTAAAATTGAGAACAATATAATTTATTATAGAAAAATAAGAAAAAATATAGAATAAAATTTTCTAATTTGATTTTTTTGAAGTTTTCGAGAAAATCGAGTTATTTATATTTTTACGTAAATGAGAAACTTTTATTTTCTTAAAGGTAGAAAGTCTAATCTCTGATTGGAAACATTTACTCCTTTATATTAATGTTATGACAAACAAATTTTAAGCAAAATGATTTGGTTTAAATAAATTTAAAGTTGAAACCTTCAACTATTCGGTAGAGATAAATTCTAAAAGATAGACATAAGATAGATAATAGATAAAAGATAAATATAAAATAAATAAAAGATAAATATAAAATAGGAAGAAGATATATATACATACACCACACACACACACACACACACACACTAGAATACTGATTAATGAAAGAATTAAATTCTAACTAAAGAAATTCTAATGAATCTAAAATTCTAATGATTCTAAAATTCTAATGAAAGAATTAAATTCTATTAAATTCTAACTAAATAGATTTCTAACAATAAGTTAACTGGCACTGGTAGCTCATATTGTTCCACATAAGTATAAGGCATTTAATGTATTAAAATTTATTTTTTGCAGTTTCCAGACGAGTTTGAATTCATGAATCCCTGATTGAAACTGAGTTTGTAATATGTTGTTCCTTTTAGTTTCCCTATTATTGCTAATGAGATAAAATAATTATATCTCTTTTATATTCAATTTCTTTCTGTATTTTTATTCTATATTTCTGTATTTTATATATTTTTTCTATATTCTTTTTTTCACAAGGGAAATCACGTAACTTGAATATCTCAGTTGTTTTTAAAGATATGAGCACTAGAAATTGACTGGTATAGATGATCGAATATCATAGATATAATAATTTTTGTTAAATCTCTAGTTTAGTGGCTTTTCGCAATCTTGGCTATTTTGCTAATGTTTCTTTTTGTCAGAGTTTATTTGATTAATTATTGAACAAGAATTGGCGATAATG